GATTTTTCTGCAAAAGATAAAGACCCAATCCCTCAAAAGAATACCTGCATTTAGAGGAAAAAAATACGCTACTCCTGAGTTGTTAGCAATGACAGAACCTAATGAATTCTGCCTATAGGCAACTAAAAATGGAAGCTAGAATCTACAGGAGGGAGTCAGACTCGGAGTGGGTAGGGAGTGGGTAGGATGAAGTGCCAGGAGCCTCTCTGACTTTTGTTCTCATGATGGGGACCCCCGATAGATCCCTGTTAATGGATAGGTGGCCTGATCAATGTCTTCCAGGGCCCAGCCAGGTGTCTTACCCCAAATGTCTTCCAAAAAGTCCCAGCCAGGTGACAGAGCTAGTCCTTTAAGACCCAGCTCAGGTGCCCCCTACCTTCTGGGAGGCTTTCCTGGTCCTTCCACTGGAGGGCTAGAAGCTGGTGGTCCCCTTCTGACTCATATTATAATGACCTTGCATCAATCAGTCCTGAGGTTAACCGCCGCCAGAGACAGAAGATGGAGGCACTGGCATTAACTTTCCTACCAACCCTGCCATGGGGGTAATGGGTGACGGACCTATAGGGTCTCAAAGTCCAGTGGCAGGGTGAGGTTGAGACCAGGACTGTAGGTCTGCAGGGTGGAGCTCGTCCACCTTCGGTCTTCCTGACAGTGAGGCTTCCCTCCCCTGGTCTCCAGGGCTGAAATGCCAGCCTCCTGCTCTGTCAACACGATGTCTAGAGGCCTCCAAGTTCTGGCACAAGCGCCACTCCTCCATAAAGCTTCCCTTGGAACGGCTTCTGTGGCTCCAGGGGCACCCACACCACTCTTGCCAGTCTGCCTGGGTGTTTTGTGGGGTGGAGCCTGGTCCTGATATTCTCTTTGCCCTGTCTAGTTCTTTGCCCCTAAACTGCAGAGCCCAGCAAGCAGGGGGTGCTTAGGAAATGCTTGCTAAGATGGAATAAATGTGTTCCTTTGGGTCCATCTCTTTCTCGTCCACTGTTCAGAAGAGGCCAGAGACAGCAACTTTCCAAAAGCCAATGAATTTCCAAGGCACAGGGCTTAGCAATCTCCTGGGCTTACAGACCTTCACTGGCTTTCCCGGGACCTGGGGTAAAAGCCAGAATCCCCACTACAGAGGTCAAGGTGCTTGATGACCTTCCACAGGCATCTTTCCCTACGAAATCCCTCCGGGCTCCCTGCCATCCTGAGGCTCTGGTCACCCTGGATGGCTGGACCCCAGATCCATCATCTGCCTTTTGGCCTTTGCTTTGACAGTGTCTGACCTTTGGAATCCTTCCTCGGGGAGAATTCCCTTTGCTCCTCTGAGCCCTGAAGTCCCCATACACCCCTGTCCCAGCCACGGCTCTTAGAACTGGATGGACACTTGGCAGAGATGAGATTTTTGTGCCTCGGTCTCTCCTGGACATTCAGCTGATGGCGATAAATGGTCCTAGGCCTGAAACAAGGCCAGGGATACAGGACAACAGTGCCACCAAGGGAAGGATGTGGACTTAGGAATCAGGAAGTCCTGGGTCTGAATCCTTTGCCCTTCCTTACTGCATGACTTTGGGCACATTTCTAAACCTCTCTGAGCTTTGGCTGCCTCGTCTGCAAAAAAGGGCTGACAACATCCAACCATGAAGGACTGTGGGGCTGGTTAGCATCTGATGATGTACCAAAGTTCAGGCAGGCCCCTGGGAAGTGGCAGACCCTGACCCATGGTCACATGTCTGCTCACAAGGGTTCCTTTCAGGTACCCTTTAGGAGAAAGTGCCTTGTATCAGAAACTGCCTTCCCTTTCCTCGACATGGCTGGGATTCCTGACCAAGCTGAAGCTCCAAGAGGATGGACCGTTGTGTTCACCGCTGAGTCTCCAATGCCCAGAACAGGGCCTGATGTATAGCAGGTGCTCACAGCTGTGCAATAAATCTCCACCTACCTCCATTCATCAGTCAAGAAAGGAAACTCAGGAGCTAGACACCCTTCTCAAATTATTATTATTTTTTTTTAAAAAAGAAAGAAAGAGAGAGAGAGAGAGAGAGAGAGAGAGAGAGAGAGAGAGAGAGAATTTTTAAATATCTATTTATTTTTATAACCATCTTTGTTTGTATGTGGTGCTGAGGATCGAACCCGGGCCGCATGCATGCCAGGTGAGCGCGCTACCGCTTGAGCCACATCCCCAGCCCCCTCCTCAAATTATTTTAAAACCATTTTGAAAAATGGTTTAATTCTCATCTGGCATTTCTTGTGCACCGACAGGTAGGTACCATGGAGGAGTTGAAGAGCACATTTTCCTCTAATCTTCATGGTGAACCTATGAGGTTGTTGTTTTTTTTTTTTTTTTTTTAACAGCTCAGGCCTGGTGCATCATTAAGGAGCCCAGGCTAATGGGGCAGCCTGCCATGCAGGCACTGAGCCCTGCCTCCAGCCCCAGCCAGGAGCCCTCTGCTCCCTGGGTTGCCTCCCCTCACCAAGGTTGGCCAGGTAAGGCCAGCACTGCTCTCCAGGTTTAGATGTTCCCCTGCTTCCTTCTGGCTGGCCTGCAGCCAGTGACCCTCCCAGTTTTCCGGCACAGGACAGAGCCTCCTTTAAGTAGAGGCATCGAGGCTTAGGAGGATTAAGAACCAGACTGTGTGCACAAAGGAGCTTCAAGGAGCACACCACTGTCAAAGAGGCGCCTCCAGCCTCTCCAGGATGAGCCGGAAGTGAGTATGGGCCATGTTTATAAACCATATGGGGCTGGCAGGAGGGGCCTGGAGACTGTTCCGGCCTGCTGTTTGTTCAAGGATGTCTTGTGACTCTGAACAAACAAGGGTAAAGAAACCAAGTCAAGGAGCCCAAAGCAGCCCTTCCACCAGTCCCTGGAGCAGACTCCTGCACACAGCCAGGTGGGACTCAGGAGGGGCACGTGGAGGGGAGACTGCACAGGCCTGGAGGTGGGGGGGGCTACACGACCCCCAGAGTGTATAAAAATATCACAAATGTTCACAAGAATACACAAACACTTGTAGACCTAAAATTCCGTGTCCATGGCGATAGTCTTCTGCTATTTCAACTTTTCAAAAACATGCACTACATCGTCTGACCCCCGCCATCCCACTGAGACATGTATTAGAATTCCCCCAGGAGAAACTGAGGCCCGCACAGGTTCCCTCTGCCCTCCAGCTCAAAGTGGGCCTGGCTCACCCCATAGCCTGAAACAATGGGCAGCTCAGCAAAGGCTTTGGGTGTCTAGGGTGGCCAAGGAGAGACCCCAGGGTACTGTGCTGCCACCCAGGTGGGAGGGCAGAGGCAGAGGTGCTCCTGGGCTCCAGGATGCCATCCACACAGGACCACCCATGCCGGGATGGGGGAGGCAGACCAGGCAGAATGAGCATGACTTTGTCCTCTGATTTGTGACCTACCCCAAAGGAAAACAGGGACACTGGTGCTGGGTGCCTGGCTCCAGGAGACCGAAGGATAAAGTTGGATGAAAATGATAAAATAACCCAAACCCAAGGGCCTCTACAGCTGCCAAAGCCAGCCATCGTCGTCACCACAACGCATTTCACAGATGAGAAACAGAGGGCTGAAAAAGGAACTGACAACAGCCAGACCTGACCTTGGACTTGAACCCCGTCTCCTGAATCCCCAGGCCTTAGCAAGGTCAGCACAAGCCTGCTTACAGAGCTATACATTCTCAAAACCCTCCACAGTTAAGTGGCAACAGAGACACCAACAGTCAGCACCTATGGAGCCCTCACTGTGCCCTGGGTCTCAGAACCTCATGCCAACTCCAGTCACAGGCAACCTGCCTCAGGTGGCCCTGCTGGCAGGTGGCAGCAGAAAGCTTGAAATCCAGACTCCTGGCCCCAGCATCTGAGTTCCTTCCTAAGTTCTGGGCTGGGCCCACCTATCAAGACACACCTGGAACCTGCTCACGTCTGTTGCAGTGCATCTGTGACACCTTCACCTGCAGACACCCACAGAAATGTGCCGAGAATCCTAGAGCCTGAGAAAGTGACTTTTTCTCCATCTACAAGCCTGAGGAGCTGGCCAGAGCAGCCTGGGCCTCTGTGAAAACAAGTCTGCCTGCCAAGGCACCTGGAGCTCCAGTCAGGGGTGCGTAATGGAGGGAGGGAAGGCCAGGACAGACAGGAGGGGACATGCAGTGCGGGCCACACACGGCTCCCACTGAGTTGGCTGGTACCCACTGGACACATGGTCAGTCCTCCCATGGGCAGGGACATGGTTTCAGTTTTATACTGGGAGTTCGGACGAGAAGCAGCAACTGAGGCAGCCAACCACCACGCAGAAGTGCCCACCCCTGCAGGTCTCCCAGCCACATCTGGAGAGGAGACAGGTACAGGGCATGAAAGAATAACAGGAAAAGACCGTAGGAAGTGGGGGTGCAGCTCAGTGGTAGAGCACTTGCCGAGCACGCACCAGGCCTTGGGTTTGATCCCAGCACTGCAGAGGAAGAAAAGGAAAAAAGTATCTGTGAGAGCACAGACATGGTCACCTGTGGATCCCAGCACTGGAGAACTTGGGGATGGTTTTCCTGGGGTCTGAGTTATTCAATCATTTAGCAAATATCTCAGCGCTCAGCATGTGCCGGGGCCTTTGATCCCACGGAGCTTCAGAGGCTCCATTCACATGAAGATCTCTGACCCACCAAAGAGAGAGGCATCAATAGTCTACCAATCTTTGGATTCTTTCCACACAGGAGAAAAAGGCACTTGAAGGAACATTTCTATTAATATAATTAGCAAATGAACCAAAGCTATTAAATACTTGATGTTTGCTTTTTTTTTTTTTTAAGTTAAGTTACTAAGTGAATTTATTCATCCGTCAAATAGAAAAGCCAACTGGAAAAACCTGTCCCTCAGTAACACATTAGCCAAAGGAAGTGAGTGATCCCCGCTCTCTCATTGAAATCCCCCTTTCTGGGCCGACCTGCTGTTCACACGTGTTAAACATTAATTACGACTGTTACTCATTACACAGCAAAAAGCTCTGGGTACAAACACAATTGTTAATTTCCTCACAGGCCCAAGGCATTCTGGGAAGTTGTGCGGGGGACAGGAAATGTCCTGGGAACTGAGGGAGCCAGTTGTGAGGGGGAGAAGGCCTGTGGCTGGTACGACAGGTAGCATGGCCAGGTCTGATTCCCCAGTGAGTCCTCTGCAGAGGCCGGGCCTGTTTATTCTGAGCACCAGAGGGTGAGTCACCGGGCTTGGTGGGAACAGCCAGTCTGGAGCAGAGCCCGCCGCCCACAACATCAGCCTTACCAACTTCAGAGCATTCACGCTTCTGGGGGACAGTGATAAGCCAGGTCAAATTCGAGCAAGCGGGTGCTTCTGCCTCAGCAACAACCCACACTCATCTCTATGCAGCTGTGGAGAGGGCAAGCACTCTGGTCAGACTGACCCAAGTTCGCTGCTGTGTGCTGTGGGTAAGCCGCTCACCCTCTCTGAGCCTTGGCACTGCCCTCAGTGAACAAACACTCGCCTGGTGGGACTTCCTAGGGTTAACCTATGCCAGCTTCGTATTTGGTGTTCAGTAAGTGTTGGCTTCCTATTCTCCCTTCTCTTACCCCTTACCTTAACGGGGTTATTTTAAATCAGCCAACTGAGCTGGCTCAGAGATGACTCACAACTGTGGGCAACAGACATACTGGGATCTTACTTTCCCTTTCTCTGCCCTTTCAGCCTCACTTGAAGAGGCTGGGGAGGAGGGAGGCTGCTGTGTACCACAGCAGCAGCAGCACCCCGTGAGCTCACAGTGACAGGTACTTCCCAGTGCCAGGCTACGTGGGGGAGGAGCTTTGCCGATGAGGCCTCTGTGGCTGCTGAGTGCCTCTTTATATAGTGCTGTTTTTCTATCAAGTAAAATTTTATTTAACATAGCAAGCCTTCCCCTGAACACCAGTAACAATTCTTAGGTGCCATTCTTCAGGGATCACAATGTCTTTTCCTCCAGATCTTTCCCCTTGGATCACCGTAGAGACCCAGTGTGACAAGAGCTGTGACTATCCCCATTTTACAGACTGGGAAGCTAAGGCTCGGGGCGACGGCATGACCTGAGACCCTGAAGCGGGTGAGTGGCGGAGCTGGTGTGTGAACCTGGGATCGTCTGCCTCCTCCCCCCTTGGCACTGACGTGCGGGACACGCTGTCCTAAACTTTCTAGAGCAGAGAAGCCTGCCAAGGAGCTCACAGGGAAGACAGATAAGCACCCATCACAACTATGCGGAGCAAAATACTTCTGTTTGAGTCATATGTCTGCCTTCCACTTCTGCCGGGAGGCACATCTGTCGCTGGCTGAACCCAGCACAGTCTGAAAAAGTCACTTCAAGGGAGACGAATCTTCAGATAGTGATTCACAAATGAAAATAACTTTGTTTCTCAAAAAGGCCTCTGGTTGCTCCTCACATGCTCCCCTGCTGTCTAGCTCCATGATCAAGAGCTCTGATTATTTACTCCTCAGACTTGACTCGACTGCACATTACAACAGATGTGGCTGTCAGGTCGACTCACTGGGTTAAAAGAAAACTGATGGACCCCCCATGGATGGCCTGACTGGCTCTGGTTTCTGGCACCTCCCTTCCTCTCGGCCTCAGTTTCCCCAGAGGGACAAGGGGAGTGGGACTCTATGGTACAGGTCCCTCCCTGTGCTAAGAAGTGGCAGTGGGAGGCCACCTTGTGGGATGGTGCCGGGCACTTCTATGCAGGTAGGAGCCCCCAGAACCTGTTCTCCTGATGGTCCTCCACTGGAGCTGTTTCAATATAGGGGGTCCCACCAGAGATGTGGGAGGAGCTGGTGCAAGGGAGATGAAAGTCTGGGACCTTCCCTGTGGTTGTGGGAGGGTATGGGCACCAATTATTGTATGCTGCATCTATGATGGCTTCATGGAGATGTCACCAGGGCTCTGGAGTTGGACCTGGCAGGCTGAGTCCCTGGCTCCTCCCCTTACCAACTGTGGGCCCCTGGGGCGAGTCATGGCTTCTCCGTGGACCTTAGCTTTGGATCTTAGTTCCTCTCTCTGTACAAGGAGAAGACCAAGCTGCAGGAGGGTGGTCATGAGGGTTAAAGGAGACGATGCACACAGAAGGTGCTCAGTGGTGCTGGCGATTATGCTCCTGATGGAACACCACTCTGCAAGCCAAGACCCCTTCAGTGGGGATGCCAGGTTCACTCTGCAACAAGGGAGTCGAGGCCCCCAGGACAGGTTCAATCCCTATCCTCGAACTGGCGCATCAGAAGTGAAGATGCCAACCTGTGCCTGACCCAGGTCTGCCTCTGCACCCCCAATGCTTGGCCCCAGCTGTGGGTCCCTCCCAGTGTGGCCGCCTTCTGTGCAGGCTCCCTGTTCACCTTGCAAGGTGTGCCACAAAGCACAGGGCCAGTCAGACCACCCCCAACAGGGTGACATCACCACAGGCTCCTCATCCCCTTCCCTGTGCTGGGAAGGGGCTTTGTGTGGGCTCAGAACTGCATCTGGAGGAGGGGGACGGGGCAGGAGGCCATTTCTAGACCTTCCCATCAGTCTCATAATTCGTTCCTGTAAGACTCTGGCTGGAGTTGGGGTGCTCACAGCAGGCCACGAGCGGAGGCCAGGTGGCTGGGGAAGGCAGCTGTCTCGGCGGGTGGAAGGGGCTGACCCGCTGGATGGAAGCCACATTACTTCTCTGTGGAGGGTGGGGCTGAGCTCTTGGGGAACCTGACCGTCTGTTCTGGGGGCTGGGACCCCACGTGGCAGGTTGATCAGGGGCTGGCCAAGGACACCATCAGCGTTCTGAGGGAGAGAGCAGGTGAGGAGCACCAGGGCTCTCTAGGGAGATTGTGGTGGGTGTCACCTACCATCTCCCAAATCCTTAGTGAAATGTGGGCCACAGAACTCTGAGAGAAGGGAAGAATTTCATTCCCAAGAAGAGGGGACCACCCAAGCTCCAGGAGCGCTGTGCTCACCCCTGGGGGGCGATGACCCCCCATGGCCGCAGTCCCTAGCTGGCTTCCACAAGTGCTAGTGTGGAGACCTGGCCAGCAGGGCTGCCTCTGTGAGGAACGTCAAGCATCCCTTCGAGCAGGGCAGCGTTCTGAGAAGCTGAAAGAACCTCTGCCTTCCAGACAGGACAGAGATTCTGATGCCCCTGCCTCCCTCTCACAGCACGCTGGGCCTGATGGACTGGGGTGCACGTAGCCCTGCAGCTGCTCGCAGGCCAGTGGCCCACAACAGCTTCTGCTGCGTATCCCCCAGTGACAGGAGGCTCAGTGTACCCATGCAGGTCATTTGCAGGGGTCCTAAACTCCCGTCTCCCCCTTGGTGGGCCCAAAGGGTCCCACATGCTCTGCATCCTCAGGGAATTTGAAAACAATACTGGGTCCAGGTTTCCTTATTCAGGTAGACAGGCAGAATCGGAACATGGGATGTGAAAAGAGAAGGACACGATTTTGCCCAGCAATCTTCACCCTACACAGCTGCTCCTTAGCAATGGACCCTGCACCCCAGGCTGCCAGGACCCATCAGAGAGAGCTCCTGACAGCAGAGAGAAACTGGGATAAGGACAGGACCCAGCCAAGTGCTGCCTTCCTCCCCCGCCACACCAGTGGCTGAAGCATGAGTGTGTTCCTGCTGGGACACTCACACTCACACACACATGCACACCTGCCGCACTGACTCAGGTGGGGACTCTGCCCTTCATTCCTGAGCAGCCACACTCCAGGTCAACAAATGGGGCTGTGATGACGTTTCAGCAATCCAACCAAACTGCTTCAGTGCACCACAGGTACCTGGAAAGGGGCCTGTCCACCTCTCACCCACTCTGACTTGGGGATAGGGAAACAGTGACAAAAGGCCAGTGTTCATAGCATCCTCCAGCCCTGGAGGGACCCAGCCTCCTCCTTCTACACCTCAGGAGTCAGAGCTGAGCCAAGGTTGCTTGGGACAAGCACAACTGGCAACTGCTCCGGAGAGGAACACAAGGTGAAAGACTCGATGAGACACACGGGGTGTGATGCTGCACCTGTCTTCTATTAGCAGCCTGATAGACACCTGAAGCAGTGACTCAGTGACGTAAAACCAAGGCTAGAATGGATGCTTGTGGACTTAGAGACGGATTCTGGGAGTTCTATCTGAAGCCTCTCGTCCTTTGTGAACGATCAAATGTACAGAAGTTCCAAAGCCACCTCGGGACATGAGTGGGCAGGTTCTGGCCCCCTGAGACCTGATGTCTTATATGGAAAGTACTTCTCCCTGAATGAATATACAAATCACCTGGAATACTGCAAAACAGACTGTGACTCCATAGGGCCGGGTGGTACCCAAGACGCCATATTTCTACTCTGCTCCCAGGTGATGCCAACGTTCCGGGGATCACGCTCTTGACCAGCAACATGCCAGATTCGACTGGAGTCTCAACGGTAGCAGTCAAGTGACCTGCAGATGGCCCATCCGGGACAAACCCAGACCCCATGCCTGCTATCTCATGCTAGGGGTCCACGGTGTCTAGGAGAGTAGCTACCTGAGCCCTTTCAGCCCCTAATCAAATTGGTATTTGCAAAGAGCAAACTCCTGGATGATACAAACTCCTCCCACCCCTGAGAAGCACAGCCCCTTCTCAGCCACAGAACTTAGGGGACAGTTCTTAGATTCTAGTGAGTCAAGAGGAGACGGGGCAGAGGAGAGATGTGGGGTAATGAAGAATCATAAGCCACGGGACTACTTTTGACTTTGGCTCTCAGTTAGGTGCTGGGGATACAGAAAGAACATGAGACAGGCTGTCCTCTTGCAGCCACAGCTAGCAGGTGAGATCAACACCCACAGAAATAACCCTGTGACAATGTGGGAAACGCTCCATCAGTGACAGGGCTGGAAGACTCCATGGGCCCCAGAGAGGCTGGAAGGACAACATGGGACACATGGCAGGCACCAGGAGAGCTCGCAGAGACAGTGCTATGGGACTGGGCCTCAGAGGAGGCACGGGGTCTTCCAGACAGGATAAGACTAGGAAGGGTATTTCAGGTGTAAAAGTGGGTTGTGCACGGGCATGCTATGTCCTGGGAAAGGAGAGTAGCTCATGCTGCAACAGGCAGAACATCAACTGAGGGGCCAGAGCAGGCACTGTGCTCATTACCAGGGGACAGAAAAGGAAGTAGGGTCTAGCTGTGTACAGATAAGGAGATTTAAGGCAAAGTCAATTTAAAACAAAACTCCCCCTTCATGACCTTCAGTGTGGTAAGAATTAAATGAGTTACTCGGTGTCTCTCTTTTTACATGCATAATTCTTAGATGCAAACAAATGTCTTGGCATCTGGCTTTCATTTCTTAATATTAGACAAAGGCATTTTCCTAGGTGGTTAACATCACTTATTAGTGGTCACACAATATTCCATCACATAGGTGCATAAAAATCCACTTAGCCAATCCCTGGTGCTTGACATGGCAGTTGTTCCCAATTTTTCACGATTATAAACAATATCCTTTCTGAATTCAACTTTGGCATAGATTCTCAGGAATCAGAATCAAAGGGTGTGAGTCAATCAAAAGTTTATGACTTGTGACATGTGGCCAGATACTCAGACTCTGGGAAACCAGCCTTGGAGGAGGCACCTGAGTGGCTCAAAGGGTTTTTGGCCAGAGTAGAGGGGACTGGCTCAGCTCTGAGGCTGGGATGTGGTTGCCCATGTTCTGAGCAGGCTCATGCTGGGATGGAGATGCAGCAGCCCTGTAAGCCATGCAGGTCTGTGTCAGCCAGGAGTGACTGAATGGGAGAACTGGGCTCCATCAGCCCTGGGAGAAGCTATTCTGCAAATACTGAGCTCTACCACCAGTCCCAAGACAGGATCAGACCGCAGGAGCATCAGGACTGTCTCTTAAGATGGAGAGACTGGAATCTAGATCCTGGGCACCAGACCCTGACCTTCTCCATGGGACCTACATCATCTTTGAAGGACACTTGGTACTAGGAAAAAAGACAGCCCAACTGGATTGTCAGACAATGTTCCCACATTTTTCTGTGGCAGGCTGGGACCCTGCGCATCCCTTCACCTTTGGGGCCCAGCAGCTACCTCCTGAGCAGACCCCAGGTGCTTACCTGCCAGGGCTGGGATGGTGACCCGGTTCCATTCCCACGGCTGGTCGTACTCGTCGGCAGGCCTGTCATCATCCTGGGGCAGCTTGCTCTCGCGCAGTCGGGGGCTGACCGTGCTCTCTGAGTCCGAGTCCACACTTTGGCCTTCGGGTTCATAAGGGGTGTCATATAACTGGATGCCTTTGTGCTGAGACCGGACACTTTCCTGCCTCTGGAATTCTGCAGACAAAAAGGAAGGAAGCAGAGGTGTAATGGCTGCACGCGGGGAATTTGGGATCCCTGCCAGGGACTACCCCTGGGTCCAGAGTGGCTGGCCAGGGAGGTGAGGACAGCACAGGAACAGCTCCTTTCTGTTTCCTGCAGCCTAGGCGCAGGGCAGGCAGCATCTCTGCTCTCCCTGGGGGTGGGTGGGGGAGTTGCTCACAAAGATCACAGGTTCTTGGGTGGACCTCAGGACAGCCCTGGACACCAGGTGCAGGTGTATTCTGACACTGCCCAGCCCTCTTGCTCGACAGCCATGTGGGGACACTCCCCACCGGAGCAGTTCACCCCCCTCACTAGACCTTCAAGTCACACTGAACAATGAGAAGATTTGGGTTAAATGATCCTCAAGTTCCCGCGTAGCTCACAGATTCAGGTAAAAGAACCAACAAGCAAACTATTTCCCTGAGATGACCCAGGGCCACCATCTTCTGCCTACGACACCCTTCCTTACAGTTCTGGTCTCCCCCCCAGAGCCTGCACACCTCCACCCAGGCTGAACACCCCTGGGAATTTCAGAGATGCTTGGTTTCACTTCCGAATGAGGAACAGGAGCTTGTGATCTTCAGGAGAAGGTGTGAAAGCCTGGTCCAGGGTGGGCTGAGGGCTGACTGTCCATCTAGTTGAGAGCCCAGATGGGGGCCATGCATATCAGCTGGGTATTTATTTATACCAGGAGAGGCAGGAGCAGCTGGAAGGACGGATGCTAGGATATGCACTCCAGGGGCCCCCAGGTCAAACAGGGAACCTGAGTTTCTTGATCTTGAATACCCACTGTGTGCAGGGTCCATGCTGGGGACCTGGGGAGGGTTCACTGCCAAGGCTGTGCCTGAGAAACCCAAATTTCCAGGGGACAGCATGTGCCTAAATCACCGTGATACTCGGGGGCAAAGGGATCGCAGTGTGGGACCTGAGAGGGGGATGGCAGGACAAAGGAGAGATGGCAGATGACAGCTCTGACAGGTGGAAACAGGAGAGGGAGGGCCTTCCCTGTGGCAGGAACAGGTGGCCAAGGCAATGGGATGGAGAGCATGCTCACTGCCTACCTTGGCTTCTTATCCAATGAGATGGATATGGCAAGTGACCATTTTAGTCGTTAAGTATGCAGCTCAGCATCATTAAGTAGGTCCACACTGTTGGACAGCCATTCCATCATCTGTCTCTAGAACTTTCTCATCTTCCCAAGCTGAAACTCTGTGCCCGGTAAACCATGACTGCCCCACCTCTGCTCTCCCCATTCCCTGTCAACCCCCAGGTCTCCATGGCTCTGACTACTCCAGGAACAGCCATCAAGTGAAATCATTCAGCATTTGTCCTGTGACAGGCTGAGCAATGTTTCATCAGACGACTCTTCACTGTCTGCTCTGATGTCCCAGGTACAAGGTGGGGAGACGGGGTGAGGGTCCTAGAATGAGCTCTTTAAAGGACTCTGAAGCAATCTCCAAACCAGAGCTCCATGGCCTAAAGATACAACAGAAGAACCAGGGGTAACAGGCCTCTAAGAGAAGCCCATGAAATTGGGATGATGGCAGCCAGCTGCTTTCGGGCTGGGCTTTCTGGTCCAAGGCCACCTCAAAGGGACAATAAAAAAACCTTCTCCCACCCCACACATATGCCCTGATGAAACAGGAGCCAATGATGTCGTGTGGTGTTTGCGTTCATGAACTTTACCCTGGTATTTCTCAAACAGTCACATACCAACTTTTGCTGCTCGAGGACCATGTGGGTTATTATTTACCACTTTTATTTATGTATGTTGTTAAGTAAATAAATTCACTTCAGAAGACTCTTTATCACATAAGCCATTATCCTTTGCCAAAAATAGATGCTAAGCATACAAAGAATGAATGAGAACAGAACCAGCTACTGGGTAGCCGCTGTCTGCTGTGAGAGCCTGGGGCTTGCTTTCTCTCTGCTGAAAAGGGGGATTTGCAAGTGTCAGAGGGCTGGTAGGAAGATGCTCTGTGGAAAACAATCATTTCTTCTCTCTAAAAAAGGAGAAAACAAACAGGAAAAATCTGCTGTTTCTCAGGCCACTTAAAATCATGTCTCCTCTGAGAAGATGTTCCATACTTTGCAAAGCATGTTTTTGTGTGTGTGTGTGCTGGGAATTGAACCCAGGGTTAGTTAAACACTGAACTAACCACGCATCTCCATCCCTTCTTATCTTTTACTTTGAGACAAGGTCTCACTAAATTGTCCAGGGCCTCACTAGGTTGCTGAGGCTAGCCATGAATCTGCAATCCTCCTGCCTCAGCCTCCCGAGTTGCTTGGATTACAGGGGTACACCACTGTGCCTGGCTAAAACATGTTTTTTTTTTTTTGGGGGGGGTACTGGGGATTAAACTCAGGGGTCCTCGACCACTGAGCCATATCCTAAACCCTATTTTGTATTGTATTTAGAGACAGAGTCTCACCAAGTTGCTTGGCGCCTTGCCATTGCTGAGGCTGGCTTTGAACTTGTGATTCTCTTGTCTTAGCCTCCTGGGCCACTGGGATTACAGGAGTGTGTCATCATGCCTGGCTAAAACATGGTTTTTATTGTGTCCTACAAATAAACAGGGATCATTTATTAGTTTTGAGCATGATGTCCACCCCCACCCCGTTTTTTATTTTATTTTTTTACAGAGGGAGAAAGAGAAAGGAAGAGCTATAAAATGGTAGTACTATGTCACTTTAAAGTGAGGATCAACTGTAAAGTACCGTAGACGACTTTGTAAATCACTCATCTACCAAACTACTTGATCTTCTACTTAATACTTTGGAGGGCTCCTTGTCCTCTGCAGTATTCTCCTCCTGTTCTGAGAGGTGAAGTCTAGCCTCCTGCTGGAGGATTCAAGGCTGAGGACCCTCGGGCTGGGAATACTGGGGGTGCAGATGATAAGGGGCTGAGCTGGGAAAACCACCTTCCTCTTTACTTTCCACAGGCAGAAACAGCAAACATTTGGAACACTATCATTTACAAAGCACTTCTCATGTGCATTGCCATTCAATCCAAGGGCACCATACAGCAGTGAAGGTGCACTTCTGTTAGAAGCCTTTGCTGGATCCCTCCCAGGGCCTGACTCCAGGTCCAGGTGCTCTGTGCATGTAGATGGAGAACTGATGGGCAGACACCACCTTTTTGTGTGCTGGGGATTGAACCCACAGCCTTGTGCATGTGAGCCAAGCACTCTTCCAACTGAGCTCTAACCTCAGCCCAAGACACCACTTTTTACCCCTAAATTCTAGTTAATTTACAAAAGTCCCTGTTGCCAGTGACAAAGAACCTGGAGGAAAATGCCAGACGCATGCAGTTCGGCATTACATAATATTCAGAAGAGGCGATATTCTACGTAAATATCAACCTAAAAGGAAAGCATGTGCTGCGAACAGATTAGCTATTAAATCAGAGGGACTTGTGCTACACCTCTCATGCAGGATTTACGGTTCTGGAAGCATCTGCGCCTCACCAAAGCTGGGTTTGTAATGGCATGCAGTTAAGACAGGGGATGTTATAATGGCAATCATTAAAACAAGCCTCCTCCTGTATTACATGGTGAATTCAAATTTTCATTAAGGACCCAACAATAGGGAACAGTTAAGTAAATTATGGCACGTTAACTGGATGGAATATTAAGTAGTCATTAAAATGATAAATTGGAAGATAATGTAGCTACATGGGAAGACGTGCATGAAATTATGCTAAACTAAAAAGTAAAATACAAAATTGTTTATGTGTGAGGGCAAAAGTATGTAACGTGAGCTTTCTAAACAAGTCCTGGGCAATGTGAACAATGCCCCAAAGGGAATTCTGTTCCTTGCTTAGGAATTGCTCAAAAGCAGCACGGCACATTTTGCTCATAATATCCAAACTCTGGTGACAGCAATGTCGTTAAGTACAGACACACACGAATAAAGAGCTGAAAACCCGATACAGGAAGGTAAACAGCTACTGTGCAGGGAAGGGATTATTGCATAATTATTTTTGAAAGCTGTAAATAATGAATAAAGATGCTACAAAGGAAAAAAATGTAATTAAGACAGAAAGTAAATGTGATGTTAAGCAGGCTGGGTCTCCAGGAGCTGTTTTTGTCTTGGAAGCAGCAGTCTTTCCCTGGGAAAAGGCTCACTCGGGGAGTAGCTTCTCCTCTGGAGAGGCTGGCCAAGAGCCCTGTGAGGCAAGAGCCACCTTGTGGGACAGGCCAGCTCACCACACATTGCTGTCTCCTGCCTAGTGACCAGGCCTGTCCACCTTGTTAGCCAGATCCCTCTGGGACGGTCCCAAGGCTGATGTAATAGGGGAGCTAGTGACCATATGTTGTAAGTCACGAGTTATCTGGATATGGCCATCTACACATTTGTGGAAAATGACCTTTTATACTGGATGGCAGGCAGTGATTTCATGCCTCTTAGGCAGCGAGCAGAAACATTAAATTGACAGGGTGGGGATTTCTGTTGACCTCTGGAGTAGAAAGGTTTTCAAGTGGAACGAAACATGGAGAAAAAAAATGGAAAAGAAGGCACTTTCTTCAGTATCAGAAAATGTTAGAACTGGAGGGAGCAAAAGAACTGGCCTGGGAATATTTACCAGGAGGGCTGGTGGCCGTGGAGAAGACAAGGGCCGGGAAGAGAGCAGGCGGGGGGCTGGGGGGGGGAGCTGGGACCAGCTTGGCTTGGATGAGCAGCCTCTTGAGTGGATGTGACAGGATTTAGAGACTCCCCACTCCACAAGCAACAAGCTATACTAACTGCACATACCCTCTGTTCCACACATGCACGGACGGCCTTCTCCGTGGTCAGTGCCCCCCCACCAGACTGGTAATGCCAGTTTGTTACAATGGACGCATCAATATTACCCCAGTCTCTAGTTTGCATTAGGGTGTACTCTTGGTGCTGCACATTCTATGGGCAAATGCATAATGCATGACATGTATTGTCACATGAAGCATTTATAAGGTGTTCTGCCCAGTTGTTGCTCTCTCCTCCCTAACCCCTGGCTACCCACTGATCTTTTTACCATCTCCATAGTTTAGCCTTTTCCAGGATGTCACACAGGTGGAACCACAGTATGTAGCCTTTTCAGACTGGCTTCTTTCTCTAAGTGATATACATTTTAGTTTTGATAGCTCTAGGGATTGAACTCAGGGGCACTCAAACACTGAGCCACTATTTTATATTTTATTTAGAGATAGGGTCTCACTGAGTTGCTCAGCACCTCACTTTTGCTAGCTGGATTTGAACTCATGATCTTCTCGTCTCGGCCTCTTCAGCTGCTAGGATTACAGGCATGCACCACCACACCTGGCTCTCATTATTTTTTTTTTTAACATTTCAATAATATTCCATTGTCTGGATGTACCGGAGTTTATTTGCCCATTCACCTAATCAAGGATCTCTTGGCTGTTTCCAAGTTTTGGCAATTACAAATAAAGTTACTGTAAAGTAGACATGAAATTTTCAACTTCTTTGGATAAGTACTGGGTAGGTCAATTACTAGCACATAAGAGTATGCTTATGTGCAAGTCTCTGGGTTCAGTGCCTAGGACCATTAAAAAGTATGTTTAGTTTGGTTTAAAAATTGCCAAACTGTCTTCTAACGTATTATTCTGTACTCCTGCCTGAATGAAAGTTTCTACTATATGCCTCCCTTTTTGCTTTGGCTGATAGGAAACTTGGATTTTGATGTAGAACCTCTGTAGCTATAATAACTTAGGACATGGGTAATAGATTTCGATTCCTATTCTCCTGGTCTTGTTACAGACATGCATTTCTCTTTTATTACAAACAAACTCTAACCTGCATTTCGAAAGTTGACGGGCACACATCTAAGTGAAAAGACACACAGTAGTACACACTTCAAGATAAATGTCTTTTATCAGCAAGAAGACTAGAAGAACATGAATCTTTTTTTTTTTTTTTTAACCTTTTTTTAACCAACTCTTTGGGAACAGAAAAAGCAAACATGGCTTCACTGTCTGGGAAGGTGAGGCGTGCCCATCTTGGTGCCCCTGGCCTTCTCCGGTGGCACATGCATCCACTGTACTCACAGGCAATCCTCTCTCCACTAAGTGGCTGGGGTTAGGTGGGGAGGCTGAGACCCTCAGTCAGAGAGGGCAGACACACCCAGGCTCCTTGATGAGAGCAGACTTGAATCTACAACCTCAAGAAGAGGCAGCTCTCGGCTGGGGGAGCCTGGGAAGGCTGCAGAGAATGTAGACACGAGGTCATGGTACTGTGGTACGGCAGAGAAATGGGCCCAGGCTGGAGGAAGACGGGGCTGAGGTTCAGGGGACCAGAAGCACGAGGTATACGTGGGTTGTTCAAGGGCTGGGGGTTTCTAGATGCCCAGTGGAAGACAAAGCTACGGCAGAGGAAGCAGGTTTCTGTGAGGCCTCAAATGCTGAGGGACAGCACCCCCGGAGACCAAAGAGACCTACCTGCCCCAGAGCCTCTGGGCGGGGTGGAGCTGGGTGGGGAGCAGACCGCACAGCTGGGAAGGAGCCTCACTGGAAATGACAGACGCTAGCCTGCAGGCCCCTCACCTCTAATTTTCCCGGCCAGGCTTGTCTGGGAATCTACGGCAGCTCCAGATCATAGAGTGGCAGAGCTCAGTGGGGATGTGTGGCCCTTGGAGGCCTGCATTCTCAGGCCCTGCCATCACTTCCGGCCTACGAAACCTCTACTCTGCCAGGGGTGGGCATGCCCGGCCATGTTACCAGCATCTCCACCCATCTACACAGAAGCACAGTCACAGTGGACCTGTGCCCAAGATGACAAGGTTGTGAGCAGATGAGACACAGAGTCCTGGCCAGGGCAGGAAGGGCTGCATTACTGGACCAGGGCTGCCCCACACTGACCACCTAGAGGGAGGCAGGGCCTGGGTCCAGGAGCTAACAGGTCAACAGCACAGGGCCGGGGACTGACAACACTGATCCAGCACACTGCTTGGCCTGTATCTTGGCTCCAGCCCCTGCCTAACTCGGAGCAAGTTGCCTCAGTTTCCTCATCTCTCGGGGGATGACAACTACACCCATCTCAGAGAGATGCTATGGAGGATTAAATACATAGGCCAAATGATTAGAATAGAGCTTGGGGCAAAGAAAGTGCTCTGTGAATGTCATTATTCCAAACACCACTATTGGGGACTTCCTTGGAGCCTCATCTCCCAGAGCTTCAGATGCCTGCTTACGGGAACCTGACAGCCAACCCTGAGTTGGAAATGGAAAGCGCTGGACACCGACCTCTAAGCCTATTTGCATTTCTGGGTCTATAACTTCTGCTTTCAGCTGTTGCATTGGCCATCTGACACCCCCGCATGGGAGTCAATGTGAAACATACAGGGGTGGGGGTGGGGGTCTTGGTTTAATCCAGTCATCACATTTTATAGATGGGGAAACTGAGGCCTAGGGAAGGAAGAAGGTGGCTGGGTAGAGGCCCCAAAGACCCCTCATGCCTGGACCAGGGCTTTTTCTGCCTCTTCCACACTTCCTGACATCTCTTTCATCAGCTTGTCTTGTTTTAACCTCCAGGAGGCAGGGTGTCTATTTCAGGCAGATCTCTGAGCTGTTAAAAAGCACACCCGGCACCTCAGGCCGAGTGATGAGCTCCACGGGAGTGGCAGGCGGTTGCTCCTAATTAGACATGGGCCCAAACCCAGCCTAGTGCCGGGGTACCACATCAAAGGGGAGTCAGAAGCTTTTTCCCATCTGCACGGTTCAAACATCTGTTAGAGAAAGACCCTCCCCCTAACGGGGGTGCTTCAACAGGCAGCTGAGCTCAGGTGTCCCTTGGAGGCTGCGGGTGGGCAGCACAGGGACGGCAGGAGTCCTTTGGGGTGGACGCTGCAGGCCATCAAGGGCAGGGCAGCTCAGAGACCAGGCTTGGAGACAACCCAGCCCTCACACATGCAGAAGGCCCCACCTCCTCCTCTATCTGGTCTGGTTTCCGGAGCTGTCTAGAAGCCAGAAGACTAATTAGACTTCTTTTGCCATCTCTTCTCCAGGCATGCACAGAAACACCCCAGGCAGCAGAGGGTGAGCTCTGTGGAAGCAGAGGTGTGGAACAAGAAGAGTGGGCCCCAGGCAGCGGCCCAGGGCCTGTTGCTACTGGCCAACCTGCCCTGCTTGCTCTTATGTGCTCAGCCTGAGGGCGAGGGAAAGGCCCGGGTCTGGAGTAGGAAGCTTGGTTTACTCCCATCCCTTGGCCATCTGTACAGGGACAGAGTCTTCTCACGAGCCCCTCTGGCCTTGAGTACCAGAGGGTAGACAAAGACCTCGCATCTGATGACAAATGTGCTTTCATCAGGATTTGAAAGGCCACTTGGGCCTCGGCCCAGAGCTCACGGGCTCTCGGTGACATTACCTCTGTGTCCTATCCCAGCCCATCACTCTGCATCTTCCAGCGACTGCCTTCACGTGCAGAGGATTCTGGGCAGCTGCAGGCCCAGCAGCTGGTGCCGTCCCCGGCGAAGACTCACTGAGGCGGGGTCACTGTTCCAGGAACCCAGGGAAGTGAGTGACTGGGTCTCCCTTTAAGGAGTCGATTTCTTAGGAGATGCCATTTTGATTCCAGGTTGACTGCAAGACCTAACTTCACGGGCAAGTGGGGAGTCTGCCTGCTTTTCTTCCTCACTCACAGAGCCCCAACTGTGTGCTACACTGGGCTCCTAGCCAGATGCTGAGTGCCAGCCCAGTGTCTGGTGAAGCTGGGGGTCCTCAGTGAACGCTGGTGTGGCAGGAGAACCAGGATGCCACCATCCATAAACAATGAGTTAATAATGGTTACCAGTCACTAAGCACCTGCTTGTGTCCCAGGCACCATCCTGGGTATTGGGAGTAAAGTACTGCTCATTCTCAAGACACACAGAGGCAGGAGTAGATTAAGCATCCCTGAAAAATCAAATTGTAAAACTCTTTGAGCATCTATAGGGTGCCACAAATGGGAAATTCTACACTTGACATCATGTAACTGGTCGTGGTCAAAATGCAGGCATACTAAAAACACTGCACAATTATCTTCAGGCAAAGGGTATGGGGTGTACATGAAGCATAAGTCATTTTCATATTTAGACTTGAGTCCCAGCCCCAAGAAACACTAACACCGTGCAGGTACTCATTATATTAAGTGCAAATACCCAAGTCCAAAAAAATCCCCAAATCCAAAAATGCTTCTGTTGCAAGCATTTTTGAATTCTTGACTGTATTATTTCCCATGCAGAAACTGAGGCTCAGACAAATGAGGCTCAGCTGGAAATAATCCAGTTCTGACTGTTGTAAACACCTTAAAAGTGGTACGTGCATTGGCAGCCGGGTGGAGGTAAAAAAATAACCCAGTTCCTAGAGTTTGGAAAAATTTCAGGAAGGTGGTAGCATTTCAGAGTCTTAGGTCCTTGTGTAAGAAGAGCCCTCGAGGATCAGGGAAACAGAGGGACTGCCTACTATCACAAACAGAGAAGGACAAGCCCAGAAGGACATAATCAAGAAGAGTAGGAAGGCTTGGGTAGTTGAAAATGAGGTCACCAGGACAAAGGGCAAACGAGGAAGGGCAAGCACGAGCAAAGCGGTGGAGAGAGGAAAGCCAGAGGATTATCAGATAGAACCCAACAGCCTGTGCTGCCTTCAGCCTGGTGCTCATCATTGGGAACGGGATGTGGTGACCAGAATGGATGGAGCTGGGCTAAGGAGAGTGTGGAAGTCACAGGAGGGATGCTACTTTAAAAGGCAGGAAATTGGAAAAGGGGGGCCAGGAGCCTTAATCAGGTCTTTAATGCAAACCCTTATAGTGGATTACAATTCCCCAAGTGGGCAGGACACGCAGGGGTGCGTGTGGTACTCAGTTGTATATAATCCCAAGGTAGGACCCTCTGAAAAATTAGGGCTCCACCTTTTCAAGGGATGGAGAGAGGACATGCTCCTGTGAGCAACCCCCAGATGTGGAGATGCAGACATTCCCCCTGGGATGAGGGCCAGGGTCAGGCACCTAATCCTCAGAGGGTGGGTGACCCTGGACTCTTCATGCTGCAAAAAAGAGGCCAAGGAGGGGCTTCCAGACCTGTATCCAGCCTGAGTCTTCTGAGTGTTGACAAGTGGACCTGTGCAGAGGGCCAGCACCCCACAGATACAATCTTCCGGTCTGCTGGGCAAAGTGAGGTCTCAGCTTCCAGAGGGGCCTGGGGGCCGCTTTAATGTGATGAAGCCACAGGGTGACGGGCTTTCATGCCTGACCAGTCATAGCTAGGGGCTTTACTCCTTATGGAGCAGCTTCACCTACATGTTCTCAGGGAACCTTGGAGCAAACCTTGGAGGATCCACAATGTGAAGGCCCCTTGCCATCTGCCTGATAAAAGCCTGCAGCTTACACAAGAGGGGTGGGAAGAGTTGGGCCTCAATTACACAGCGGTGCCCACGTGCTAAGTGCATTCTTATTTAATTCTCCCGACAGTTCTATGAGGTACCACGTGGACTGCAAAATGAGCTGTGGACAAAGGCTGCCCAGCTCTGGAGACCATGCTCTTGGCCATGTGGCCCTCTACACCATCTTCCTAGCCCAAGTCAGTGCTCCCTCCACTCCACTAGGAACAAAAAGACACAAACTTGGTGCTCAGGTCAGTAAGGGAAGCAAACCCTGGAGGGCCCTGGTCCATCAAGCTGAGTGATGCCAGGCAAGCTATTTCCTGCCTCTGGCTGACAGTCTGCTTATCAAACTGGTAACTGGGGCCATCTTGGGGGTCCCTCCAGGCATCATTACAATCAGTCTGAAGGCAAGCAGAGAGCTGTCGATCAGGAGGTATTCAGCACATTCTAGATGCTGCACAGGGGCGGCCAAGACATGCTGCTGGTCCCAGTCTGGCTGGCACTAAGCCAGTGGTTAAACTGGTAGCAGGTGCAGGGGACCACTTCCCAGGGCAAAGCCAAGCATAATTCTTCACCTCACTTGTACCTGATGGCCCTGGTCACTTATATTAAAGCACCCTCACCACCTGTCATGTTTCCCAGCTATACAGGTCAACCCCACCTATATGCCTAGGGCTGGTCATGGGGTCACTGTCTCATACCGAGGGGGGTGATGTTGGCATCAAGCCCCCATGCTCAGAGCAGCTGCCCCAGCGGAAGCAACCTGCTGAGATCTGGCAAGTTCTCTGCCCAGCTTCCCTACCCTGGAACTTCTTCAAGGGAGCAACTAATCCCCCTAGGGACCCAGAGACAACTCAGCCTTCTGGACAGCAGCACTGAGGCTGCTGGCCCAGGACCAGCCTGGCTCTCCGCTCACCGGCTGTGTGACCTTGGCCAACTGCCTGCTCCACTGGGGCTCAGATCTCTCCCAGGTGAGGTAGAGGAGTTGAACCAGATGATCTCAGGGGCCTTTCTCACTCAGTCTGGTTCCATGAAGAGCAGGTATTCACAGAGGGCTTCCTGGTCCAAGTGCTGTGGCTCCATCTTTGGAAGGAGGCAGGAGGCATACAAGAGAGCACCTACCCTACCAGCACGGGGGTCGCTGGCCTCAGCATCCCAACCACCCTCAGCAAACCACTTCAAGACACGGTCATAATATGCAATGGGAACACTGCCCAGTGAGAAGCTCCACCCCACTCCCAGCTGTGCTTTCCCATCTGGGGTAGTTCATCTGTGTCAACTTGGCTGGCCTATGGGATGCCTAGATATTAGGATGACCGTTAGTCTATAAGAGTATTTTTGGATAGGATCAATATTGAAATTGGTGGAGTGAGCAGATTGCTGTGCCCCCACTGTGTGGGTAGGCCTTATCTAATCCATTGAAGGCCCTGCATAGAACAAAAAATGCCAGCCCTTCCCTGAGTAAAAGAGAATTCTGCTTGTCTGCCTTTAAATGGGGACATTGGCTTTCTTCCTGCCTTTGGACTTGAACTACACCACTGATTCTGATTCCATGCATCCAAATTTGGACTTGAAGTACACCACTGACTTTGCAGCTTGCCAACTCACCTGCAGATCTTGGGACTTGCCAGCCTCTGTCATCACGAGAGTCAATTCCTTAAAATAAATCTCGGTCTCTCTCTCTCTCCCCACTGGTCTGCTTCTCTAGAGAACTCCCATTAATACAAACTTCTGTGAAGTCCTTCACCACAAACCTAGCGTGTGGGCCTTGGAAGGGCTGCTTATCCGTTCCCTTCTTAGGAAACCCAGTTTCTGACAACAGCAGATCAACCCAGAGAGCTGGGTCTATAAGGAAACCCTTCTATCACCATCAGGGCAGACACACCACTTTACTTGATCCCAAAGAGCCAGGCAAACAGTCCAACAGAAGATTCTTGAGAAGGATATGCAATTCCACCTTCGAGACTTAAGCAAAGCCACTATGAGTCCAAGGATCTTAGTGGGGACCCACAGCTGACCCAGGAGGGACCATCTGTCAAGGTCCAACCCAAATCTAACCAAAAAAGACTAAAGGGCAGTGCTCTCTCTCCCAAAGAGTACTTCACAGTCCACGCGACCCTTTGCATTACGTGGTCCTTATAACCACTGGCTGCAGAAGGGTCCTCATAGGTAGCGATGGCATCCTCACTTAATAGCGGAAACGGGAACATCAGAATGAAGGGAACTTGCCAAAGTCACGGGGTAAGAAATCCGCACAGTTCCTGAGTAAGGAGTTTTACAATTCTTACCCTCCTGGCTTTTCCAACTCGACTGTCTTGTAGGTCACGGTGTCACAGCACCAAAAACCCTAAGGAGCGTTCTTTTATTTGTCTGTTTTACAGAATAGTGGGAAAAGGGAAGGTGAGTGGGGCATGCTACATGTAAGAACGGGGACCTGAGAAGCACCACCCTTCACAGTCCTCTCAAGGGGCTCTTTCCTACTGACAGCTGTTCCAGCCAACACCATCCACCCAGCACCCAGCACACCCAAGAATGGTGTGAAAAGAAGGACACACCTGGATGGAATGAAGAGCTTATACTGGAGCAATAAATAAATACACAGATACACGTACGGCCCCTCCTGAGGGCCCCGAAAAGGTGTCCTTCAGGTATTCAATGATACAAAAGGTGCCATCAGTTTCTAGAACATGAGAGCAAGCAGAGAGAGCCTACCTCTCTGCGATGGCAGCCTCTTCCAACTGGTGGCCTCCCAGGGACCTGACCTGAAACCCTGCTGCCCCAGAGCACCAAGTCCTATTTTCTGTTCAGTTAGGATCACAGGATACTGAGTCCCCACAGAATGCTAGAGGCAGTGCAGGGGCTCAAAGAGGAATCCAACACCTTCCCAGGCATCTGTCTCTCCCCCACCCCGGGGACCCTGAGACTCCTGTCACTTTCTGGCATTGTGCATGCTCAGTTCCACCCCCACCCCCAGTTCTAAGGGCGGAGTTCAAGTCTAATCCATCCTGACACACCCCCTGCCATTCCTAGCATAGAACCTGGCTCCACAGATGCTCTGCAAATACTGGCTGAAGGAACAACATAAACAAACAGCCTCTTGCACATTCTGAATTTAGCGCAGAAAAAATATTTTAAAAATATTTGTCTCTTCTAGGAAGAGAACCATACCCATAGATGGCTGGAGGGAATATAAACTGGAAATGGCCTTTTCAGAGGTAAAATTGGTAGATCTAACAAAAATTAAATACCGTATGGCCTGGAGTTCTGCTTCTAAAAATATCCAGACCCACATGCAGAAATAAATGCTCACGGATGTTCACTCTGAATAGGAGAAGGACCGAGCACACTGTGCTAGTCACACTGGAGAATCATTCAAAAGAAAGAATGCCCTCGGACAAGATCTGTGATGAACAGCGTTTAGGCAGAAAAGAATGATTTTTGTAAGCAGGTGGGAAAAGGGTTAAGAATACACAAATTATGAATGGTCCCGGTTTCTGGAGAGGGTTCCCGTTTTTTAGTCCCTGTATGTCTGTAGGCTGCATTTTCTTACCTAGAGCATGTAGGTTTTTCCCTTTTTAAAAAATTAGCACCTATTTTAAATGTAATGATGAAACAAAAAAAAAAATTTTTTTTTGGGGGGTACCAGGGGTTAAACTCAGGAGCACTCAACCACTGAGCCACATCCCCAGCCCTATTTTATATTTTATTTAGAGACAGGGTCTCACTGAGTTGCTTAGTGCTTCACTTTTTGCCGCTGGGATTACAGGTATGCACCACTGAGCCTGGCAATAAAACAGATTTTTAAAAGAAGCTACAAATGTGGCCTCCAAAGACTGTCCCCTCTCTTGTGGTTCATAATAGCACACATGAAGTGTCTCTCCTGAGCCAGTGCTGAGCTTTACATTACTGTTTCTGTTGTTCCTTCAGCCATGAGTTTCACACTAACCCCAGGAGAGATGACGAAACTGAGGCCAAGACAGGAAGAGCAGAGTGCTAAGGTGGCACGTTGGTGCCAGGATGAACTATATCCTGTGTCTGCTTTTGTCAAAGTCTGAGCTCACACTGTGGCCACAGAGTCACTTGCCATCTACTTCACATTCTGGTGGGACATGCTTTGGACCCACAGCTTCTGTTTTGGGATTATTTATAAATACTTTTCATATCATGTGATGCTTACACATTCAAAGTTTAGGAAATGAAGTCTGGAGCAAACTGTGTTTTGTTGAACTCAGGGGAACTCAACCACTGGGCCACACCCCCAGTCCTATTTTGTATTTTATTTAGAGACAGGATCTGAGTTGCTTAGTGCCTTGCTTTTGCTGAGGCTGGCTTTGAACTCACGATCCTCCTGCCTCAGCCTCCTGAGCTGCTGGGATCCCAGGCGTGGGCCACCAGGCTGGGTTTTGTTTTTTCACCCCAAGGTGTACACTTTAACTAGAACATGCCCACAATGTCTCCAGACATCCACAGAAGCTCTGGATTTTCCCCTCCTGGTACAGACTGAACCCAGGGAACTTTAGCATAGAGCTACGTCCCCATTCCTTTTTTCTTTTCTTTCTTTTTTTGTTTTAATATTTTTAGCTTTTAGGTGGACACAATATCTTTATTTTGTTTCTACGTGGTGCTGAGAATCGAACCCAGTGCCTCACGCATGCTAGGCGAGTGCGTCACCATTTGAGCCACATCCCCAGCCCTTTCTTTCCTTTTTTTTAAATTTTGAGACAGGGTCTTGCTGAGGCTGGCCTCAAACTTGCGTTCCTCTTCCCAAGTAGCTGGGATTGCAGGCATGTACTAGATGTTTCGACACACAAAGGACGGTAGTTAGTCTTGGCACTGCAAATGGGGAAAGCTCTCCCCTAAACACAGCTATGTGGACAGGTCTAATCCCTTTTTGGCACCCCTGGCTTTACTGCAAAGGGTCCCCACCCTCTCCAAGGCCTGATAACCCTTTCAAAGTCACAAATCAAGGTAATCCCCACTGTCCAAGTTTGATCAGCAAGCCCTGAATCAAAAAATACCCTAAGGTGGATGACAAGGAGCAAGTTGCCCTGTGGGGGGCGGGTGTGCTTGGGATGAAGGAGGTCGGGCCTTTGATGCCCCCAGAGGAGGCTGCCTCCCGACAGGTGGCTCCTTGAGGAGGGATCAGAGGGATTACAGCAGCATGAGACGTTCTAATCCAGACTGACGGGAGGCCAGATTCCCACACAAGAAGAGAGCTTTGGGAGATGGACTCTGAGCCCTGAACCCTCTCAGCTCATTAGGTGAAGAAGGAGGAGCTCTGGACACACAAATCACTTCACTAGTTCACTGTCACTTACTGGTCCGACTGGCACCTGTGTTGACTTCTAAGGAAGCCTTGGGTTGGTCCCTCAACTCTGTTCTTTTTCCCTTGTTTGGGGACAAGATGGGGTGGAGGGTGGGGGTCACATTCCCTCAGGCCTGCTTCACCAAATTTTAGGCTGGATTCTCATTGATGCCCTGACACCACACACAGGGTCAACTCCAGCACGGTTAGTTCATCAGCCAGGAGTCTGACAGCAAGTGTCATCTATGAGGTGCGCATAGTCAGCATCAAATGCCACTGGCACCAGAGGTAGAATGGGGTCCAGGAACCAGGTGGCGTTGAGTGCCCAGACACACTCCCCAAGCCCCCTGGCAGCCGAATGCCCCAGCCCCTCGGACCCACCTCCCATGGGTTTCCTCTACATGCTGCATGCGATGTCAGAAGCATTTCTATCAGGTACGTACACTCAAGTGTCTCAGCCGGGAGTCAGCAGCAGGAGGTGAGTGACAGGTGAAGGAACTTTAATAAAATGACAAGCAGCAGCCTGTTACAAGGAGATCCTGGAGATCTGCTAGAGATGCTGCTTCTTCCTTTTTTTCTGGAGATGAGCCTTAGCACTTGTGTTCTGGATTAAGTCTGGGAGACGGGGAAGGAGGCCTATCTGAGTGTGCAAGTGTGTGCGTTAAATGAGAGGGAAAAGGAAGTCACAGGAAGAAAAATCAAGCCAAGCTAAAAACAAGGCAGCTCTAATGCCACTGCCAGACAGAAAGGGTAAGGGGCCAGAGTGGGAGGAAAAGAAAACACAAAGTTCCCACCTAAAGATAACTGAGAGTACGAATGTGCACTCGCCACTGAGGAAGAAGGAATTTTTGATATGAGCCTGAGACTGCAGTCAAGCCTGCTAGGAAGGGCCTGCCCGCATTCCGGAATTGAGGTTGTCTTCCAACAGGAAACCGGGTGACAGAACTGAGATCAACCCCAAGAACATTCCAAATACGTAAAGAAACTCTGGAACACGAAGGCTTGTCTGAAGCCAAGACCCCGGGGTGGCAATGGGTGGGTGGCTCTGGACCCCCAGAGCCTGGCCCCAGCTCCTGCCGGCAGACCCTAGATAGCACCCCTCTCCCCAGCATCTTCCTGGTGTGCAAAGGGACCAAACTTTAGGTGCCGACTGATCTTAGTGGCTCATTTATTTACTAAATAACCCTTTTATTTATTGCTTTCTTCATGTTTTTATTTATAAATGATCGTAGCAACACTAACATCAGCAAGTGAAGGTGTCCATGGGGCCTGTATTGGATTTTCAGCTGGCCTCCTCCAGGTGAGGGACCTGGCAACCTCTCTGGGCATCTAACAGCTCCACAGCCAGATAACGTCAGCAGGCCTCGGTGAG